ACCTTTTACACTTTTTCCATCTTCATGATTTAATTTACATACTGGGCATAATGATCCCTCAATAATATCATAATAATTAAATTATTTTATAAATACAAATTTAAAAATACACCTAAATTAATTATCCGAACATTAGCTGTTTTTTTCTGATTAAAGATATATAATATACAATTTAAGAATGGTACAAATATTGCGGAGCAAAGATCCAAAGGGTCTAAATATTTTTGATTTATCAAAATTACTAGAACAGATCTTATATTTTTAGAAATCGATCGATCCCTCTATCCTGCTTTATTCGTCAACCACTTTTAGTATCACTGCGGTGTTCTTATTTTATAGCGTCATGTTGAGTTTTTCAACAAAATTATCAGCAGAGCTAGCGTGCCCTAAACATGTCTCAGATTCTTACTTGACAATTGATAAACTTTGAAAGAGTTATGCGTGAAAAAATAAAGTCACTCTATTGTTCAAAGATGATATATCTCAGATTAGAAGGTTTAAAAATCTCAGATACATTTATCAGTACAATTTTGCATTCATGTCTAAATATATACTTTCTCATTCTTGATAAAAGTAAGGGTTTCACTAATATACCAATTATAGAAATTGCGAGATTTTCTTTAAAACTATAGCATCTGAGTCTTAATTCATGCATATTTCTCACTAATCGATATATCACTGAAATTACTCGCTCATACTCAAAACTTAGACATCTTGAGCTTGGTGATTGCTCGATTAATAATAAAGCTGTTGAGGAAATAGCCCACAACTGTATTAATTTAAAATACCTTAGTTTGGAGGGATGTAAAGGGATTGGTAAAGAAGTGATGAAAAAACTTAATTCAAAAATTAAAATCAAACATCCAGATTATTCTGATGATAAATTCTTAGATTCTGATCTACCTCCACTTATTTCAGATTCATTAAGGGTATTTCAAAGCGTTATCTTTACCAGTGAACCTAATAGAATAGTTTTAACTAATACATTAACTGTAACAGATCTTATTTCTACAATTAGAGTATCATCAGAATTGACTGATTTGAAACGAATTAATTTATTAAATAGTCTTGCTCAAGCTATTAATCAATAATTACATCGATTGTGACAAGTACTTTAGGCAGATAATTAATTATTAGTTATTTTTTTGGCTATAGTATATAATATAATTATTTTACTAATGTGTATAGAAACTCTTGTAGAAGGAAAAATTCCAGTTAAAGCATTAATAGATACATCCCCAAAGTTTAATACTATTAGCAAGAGGCTGTTCAATAAACTTAAATTGAACTATAGAATACGCCTTAGCTGTGGTTCTGCTGAGTGTCTCTATGGAGACGTAATAGGTGAGATAAATTGCTTAGATTTACGGTTTCGCTATAAAGGAAAATGGCAAAGTTTAGATGATACCAATACAATATACTTTAAAATTCGCAAGAATCTAACGTTCGATCTAGTATAGTTATGAATACATAAAGTTAAGATGAACTTTAAATTATCTTCTAAAAGAAGCTATGATCCTTATGCTAAAATTGTAATAGATGGTATGAATATCCCATTAATTGGAGACAATAACAGGCCCACAGGCGATTCTTTGAGTCATAATACTAGCCCTATTAAAAATGATCCATCTAGGTCTGATTTATTAATATATGAGATCATGAATATGATTAAAAAAATTCTTTCAGTTGTCGAAGATAATAAGCATTGAAAGAAATGTCATGGAATATTTCACAACATACCTCCTGCACCTCTATTACCCAGAAGATTGGATGATAATTTCAGTAAAGAAATTAAAAGGGTAACCTGGAATCTAAAAAATATGATTCACACACTTCTTATACTGAAGTATCATCAAATTCAATTAATCCAGAACGAGATAATATATTAAATAATCTAATCAACTATAACAACTGGTGCAAGTGGAAGGTCTTTGAATTGTTCTTTAATGTGGATCCTTTTCCTCTCCAGTTCAGAAAAAGAGAAATAGCTCATCAATCTATTAACAATTACCTGCTAACTAATAATGCATCATTCTATACCTGGGATAATCGTTACATGATCTATTTCAGGAGGCAGAATCTATTTCAGGTGTACTATTGCGAAGCAATAATCCTTTGGGTCTACAAATATATGATTAATTTTCCAGTGTAACTATATAGCTGTTACATCTCAATACTCAATCATATGTTTGTGAGAAAAAAAATGCTAAGAAAAATTTAATCAACCATATATGATATACCCACAATAAGCAAATCAATCTCACTGATATATTTACATAAAAATCCCTTTATTTAACCAATTATTATTGATATATTTACATAATATATATAAGGTATAGTGATATAGAAAATGAATCATAATTAAAAATCCATTAGACGCGTTATTTCTTATATCGTACCGGTAGGCCTTTTCTTGCAGATTCTAAATCTATGAATATCAGTTCTTGACTATATGATGAACTTTATCTTACTTATATATACCTATATTTGTTCATCTATGATTTTTAATTTTATCCCAACCTAAGTCGTAATCAGCTAAACTTTTAGTAATTTATACCAATTTTAAAAAATAATAATTTATTGTAAGGTCACGTGACATTGTGACAAGTTATGAAATAAATTCTAAAACACAATTAATAAAAAATTCATAAACGATGTATTAAGCATATTGTGACTATTAATTAGCTAATAAAATTTTGTATATAAAATGATACATAAATATATGATCTAAATTTTATGCCTTTGCTGTTATCTCGATTTCTTTTTCATTTGAATTGAAAATCTGTGTGAATTGAGTATGGATTTTTTCTCATTCTTCTATAAGATCATCAAATCATGACATAATAATTCTTCACCGACTAGCCTATCCCGATCTGTTAAAAATTTATGGTATTTTTTAGTATCTTTCTTCCTTTCTATTCCACCACGATAGAACTGTATATCCCTCTCCAAGTTCTCACGAAAATATCCTCCATCCCATCTATTTTTCTCAGCCTCAGTAATGATCGAAAATTTTTCAGGATCCATTTTATGTTCAATGGCATATTGATAAAGGCGGGTTTTATTTGGATTAGTGCTAAGAATCGGTAATTAAATTTTGTTTGATATACTTATCTGAATTTCTGATAAACTCTATATAGCAATTATAACTTTCTTTTGATTGATAAAGGAACAATTAAGAAATAGTGATCATTTTTACCTAGACAACTCCAGTCGCCCCATATACCTAAACATGTGTGTACCTCTTTGCATACAGGGCACTTAACTTCTGAATCAGTATATTTAAATACATCTCGATGCCATGCATTCAAATTAGTGTAAGATAAGAAAGGAAAGCATTTATGTACTATTTCATGGATTATACTTTTTTCTTCCAGAAATTTAGAAATTTTTATAACACAATCCTATGAAAGGTAATTATCAATCCTTTCGATTTGTGGGATTCAGAAGTTTCAAACATTATCTAGGGATCGAGCCCAGTCTCTTCTGTATATGCTCTATATAAGCTCAAACGAATTTTATCTGTCAAATGACTTGATGAATCAACCAATTTAGCATGCTAGTCTAAATACTCAGAGTTAAGGCACGAAGTGTCATTTCTCTGAAATAGGCTTTATCCATGTTATTGTTTTATATGATTGCAAATTCAAATTAAGTACAAGTCGTGTCTTTGTTTTGCTTATATAACAAGAATACTTACGTGCTAGCATTCTGTGCATATCCCGAAATAGTAATTATATAGTTAATTAATTTACGATCATTTGAAACAGATAATTTGTTGAAGGCAGTGTGACTTTATGATTTATGCTGTTATCTCGATTTCACGCTTTTCACATATAATAAAATAGGATCCAGCTTCGTATCTACCTTTTACACTTTTTCCATCTTCATGATTTAATTTACATACTGGGCATAATGATCCCTCAATAATATCATAATAATCAAATTTTTCAGTAATAAATGTTTTATAAAGATCAGAATATCGCAACAATGTCTTATTATGAAAGTAAGCATGGTCATGTGTCAGATTATTTTGCTTTTCAGTTAAAGTCTTCTTGAGTTGAGGTGTAGATATACTTTCTTCCCTCGTCTTGACTTCTGGTAAGATCTTAGTTTTCACAAAAGAGTTAGAGGTTTGAGGTTTGGCGGGTATACTTATCTCAGGCAAAATTTCGGTTACATGTTTTTAGCGTCAGACCATCGTCAAAATTCCGCTCATGTGATTTTCTATAATTTTATCTGTACCTATTTTTTCGAATAATTTGTAAGTTTTTACAACTCTTTGGGTCTTTTTACACAAAGTTTTACGGAAATTTCTGGAAATTAAAAGCCTGTTGCTTTTGATCTTTTTTCACAGATTATAGTAAGATGCTCTAATATTTTATCATAAATTATACTTTTAGCTTTTTTCTTACCTATTTTACCATTACTATGTTTCATAAAATCATTGTACTGAATTATAAATTCTTTCCCATAATTAATCCAGCATAAAGTTTCCTCTTGGTTTGCTTTTATAGCATAATATTTAGCATTAGTTACTTTGTCAAATAATTAGGCCAAGTCGAATAATGTTTGGATTTTAGAATGATTTGATGCCGAAATTTCGATCACATGATTTGGCGAAATAGTATTATCCTGAATACCATTAACTATTACTTTGACCAATATTCTCTATTCCTTTTTCTTGTGCGATTTATCCTGATTATTATTTTGATTTTGATTCAAAGGATTTGTCACAAGTTTCGAGTCCAAAGAAACTGGAGTGTTGGTATAGTTGGTACTTCAGATAGTATCAGTAGAGTTGAGTTATTAAATGATCCTTGAAGTTTCTTTTCCCTGTTCCTCTTTATCATCATATCACTAACCTCTTTTTTACTCTGCATATCCAAGAAATCAATCATTTCCTTATCCTCTAGTGATTTAGGCTCTGTGGAAATAGATGATGCAGGGCATCGAAACAAAGATTCTTAACATGCATCAGAATTTGAAGTGTTGTCAGATGTTGGGGCATCCTCACTTCGTAAGATTATCTGTTCAAGAATACTATTAGAATTTACTGAATAATGCGAAACACTAGTAAAATTTTTTTCTTTATCCCTCTGTTCTAGATTCGTGATTCTGACTTCATGTTCTTCTAGAGCTTGCTTTAACTTCACATTATCACCTTTAATCTCAGTATTTTCAGCTTTAACTTTCACATTCTCAGCTTTAAGTTAAATATTCTCAGCCTCAACCTCAGCAAGCCTCTTTCTAAGTTTATCAATTTCGGATAAAAGCCTGGAATTCAATTCCTTCAATGTATCAATTGTGGATTGTGCACTTGTCATTGTTTTATTTAACATATGAATATATTCAAAAGCTTGTTTATCCTCCAAACTTGAGGAAGAGAATATTTTATACTCAGCCAGAATATAGTTATGTTATCTAATTTATGTATTAATAATTTACATTGATGTATTTGATTAAGCGATATGAACACAATGAATTATACAAATTCTAATTTGTTGCATTTTTTAACTTCATAGAAATTTCTGTATCGTTCATCACAAAAATCTTTTGTCAGAAAAAGAATTCTCAATCATGGCATAAAATACATGCTTAAGCTCAGAAATTCGTTGCCTCAATAAATCAACTATGTTTTAGTAACAGATTGTATATATCCTATTGTTTATTTAAAATGCATAACCAAAGCAATGAAAATTTTGGCGACAGACCGTCATCAAAAACTCAAAAAAAAACAAATAAAACATTACAGATCGTGAACCTGATAAATGACTAATAGATCTTTATTGATTTTTTATTATACATAAGCTATTTGATAGTAAATTTGATGAAATATTGTCACTCGGTTATTTATTTCAATAAGTAATCAAGACTTAAATCATTTCTAAATACAAAAGTAAATGTTACACATATTTGCTAATCAATAATTCAATAGAAAATCTAAATCCCAATGTATGCACAATTTCTATCAGGTTGGTATATAAAAACTTTAATCAGAACTCAATTGACAAGGATATTCGAAATTTCCTGATGGAGATGGTGAAGGTGAATCATCATAATCAGAATCATCATCATGATGATGTACCACTGGATTTATGATGCGTGATTTTTTTCCTGTAGGTTTTTGTGGTGAACTCTTGGCATCACCTATGTAACTTTTTAGTACTGGAAATTGAAAGTGTAAAAGGGTATTTCGACAATGTGACCTTTTGAATTCCTCAAATACTTTGAGAGTATCATCTAAGCCTCTCTGTATGAAAAAGAATGATCAGAACAAGTTATTTTAATACTTCAACACAAAGGAATGAAGATCTTTTTTACTCTAAGATTTTGCAAAACCCTTAACGCATGTACCAGTTCATGATGATTCTCCCAACTGATTGGAAACCAGAAGGTGCCAATCAGAAACATTCGATAAATTTTGGAAACAGGTAAATCCATACCCCAAATCTGTACCTCAAGACCTATATGCAAGAAATAAAAATTATTAACAAATACAAAAACTAAAACTCAGGTCAACTATTAACTTACCGTGTATATGGAAAAACCAAACACGTAAATGTCTCAGAATCTTATAGTCACCATTTTTAAAATTTATAATTATATCATTAAGGAGATCACGGCATCCCCAATATCCCTTTACATGATCTTTTAAATAGCGAGGCATATCCTTAGTTAAATAGCCACCAGATAATTCAACCATGCCAATTTCAACTCCTCTTTCACCAGGGAACTTTATTTCTGACAAATACTTAACCCATGCTCTTATTAATTTAGGGTCTAAAGATATACTTTCAACACTATATTAGATTTTATAAAGCATTTCCGCAAGTGTCTTACAGAATCTGTCTACAATTACTAGACCCCGATGACTATATACACCAATCAATCTAATTGTTATATTATGTTCTTTCATTATTTTACTCGTCTCACCCATAAATTCACGCCTTTGGTCACATTGTAGAAGTGTTAGCTATACAAGTGGATTTGATAGATCATTATAAATTTTTTTGAAGGCTTTGGCAATGTCTGAGCTATTTTTCAATGTAAGAGGAATAGCGCATTTAAAACGTGATGCAATGTTTATAATAGTGAGTATCCATTTATATGTCTTTTTATTAACGATACCATTCGTAAGATGCAATAAATCACACATATGTATGCAATTCAGACGGTAAATTTTACCATAACTAACTCATAAAATATTTTTCAGTGACAGAGCATACTTTTGCCATTCATTCTGGTTATATAACCATTCACAAACTTTTTTATATAAAAAATTATATCCTTTATCTCTGATATCATTATACAACTTTCGAGAATTGGAATGATAACCAGTAGAATGATAAAAAAACAATTTACATATTAAGTTTAATTTCTTATCTGGATTGATTCTAATAATAGACTTGTTCAATTTACTCATTTTGAATATATCTTACTATAGCAATAACTATGTTTTGGCAAAGTCCGGAGATAATTCAAGAGACAAAGTTTCTTTCTATAAAAGATATAATATGCTATAAAAAATAGCTATGGCATTTTATCAACCACATCCCAATTGAATATCTTGCAGGCCAGCATCTAATCAGAAATGGAATTAGAGCAAGTAAATTAAGCTTTAAAAGATGAGTTATTTAATAAAGTTTCAATCAATAGGTCCAATGAGAAATACATAAATGAGTTAGAGCGTAAATATATCAGATGTGAGAAAGAAATCTAATCTCTTAAAGAAGAACTGAAACGTTTCAAGAATGCTTTGAAGGAAGAAAAAACAGAGTTGAGATCAAAGATATCGTCCCTTAAAAGAAACTTATATCAAACTAAAAAGAATATCTAAGATAAAATATCTTATATTGATAATATAGAGAAGCAATTATAAGAATCGGAAGAGTAGGTTCAAAATCTAAGGCATAGATTTAAAGTTATTTCTTCTCGAAGAAGCTCTTCAAGTTTATATAATTCAGAAGAGAAAGATATAGATATGGCAAATCTTGATCTTTTTATATAAATCGAATGAGGCTTAAATCGCATTAAAAATCACATCCAAGGTGGTGGTACTCCATTAAATAATCCTATCAATATTATAGAAGGCATTAGAGGTTTCTTAAATACTATTCAGCATAATTATCAGTCTGCATACCAGGATATAGATGGTGTTATCGCTCAACGAGATGATAGAAATAATCAGATAGTCCAGCTATAACAGGATGTCAATTTCTACAGTCAACGACCAAAATTGTGCAGACATTTTGATTTGTCAAAATTAGGCAGATCGATCATTATGTGATTACATAATTAAAATAATACGTCATTTTTTACTTATAACGATAAACAATACCCCAAATCTTTTTCTCTTTTAAATAAGTTTATGTCAAATATGAAAGTACTTACTTTCAAAACTCGTGGTGCTATTACTTATGGTTATAAATGTGGACAGTCAGGTTATACTATAGCTATACAGCTAAGGTGCATGTCTATATTATTCTTAAACGTCTTCGCAAAACTGGTTCTTTAACACCAACTCCACTACCATCTAGTATTAAAGTACTTGAAAAGTATGTAAAAGATGTATGGAAAAATTTTCATCCGGAATATTAAAAAAAACTGATCGATAGCTACCGCAGCGAATTGCTGCAATTGGAAATAGGATTAATTATTAAATTTTTTTATAAATCAATAAATAAAGATATATTTGAATTTATTTTGTTAAAATTTTATTTTTATTATATTATGTATATATAATTTTTTTTGATTTTAAAAATGTCCGCATAATTTTGGTCGTTGACTGTACATATATTATTTCTAAAGAAGTAATAGATTATTTTGAAAAACTAGATATCATTACCTTTCAAAATAACTATGCTTACTTTAATAGAAGAAGCTTTACAAATTTATAATCTTTTTAATAATTCTAAAATTTGTGATCAACTTTTTTAATTTTTCGTAATCAAAATAATGAAAATATAAATGAATTTTAATACAAATAGTATTTAAAATATCATATTAATAATAAAGGATAAATATATAATAAAAAAATCAAAAATTATACTATATAAAGTAAAATTAATAGAAAGGTATTAGATAGATTATTTAGAAAATTTTGAATTTTGTCTAGAAGTTTATATATAAGTTTTCAAGGTTCTGTCCCTTTCACTTGAGTTAATATTTGAGTAATCTAGCAAAAACCAGAGTTTGGCAAATTACGTAATTTCAAGAAAATCGTAGTTTAAAATTATTAGTTAATTTAGTAAACTGTCATTTTTAAAGATTTTTAAAATTAGTTTTTTGTAAACTAGAGTAAAATTTTGCAAGGAATTTATTAAAAGTATTAGTTTTTCTTTAGCAAGTTTATTTCATTTATTAAATATATAATAAAAAAATACAACAATTATAAATTATAAAATATTATATTTTTTTAATATGCTATATATAACTTTTTTTTATTTTCTGAAAAATTAGATCAATAAATATGTATTTCAGCTTTTGTTAGACTGGTTTCCATTTATTTGTTTTGCTATCAATCTATTATAATTATTTTATCACGTAAATTTAACTTTTAAGATAATGTTTAAACATTATTAATTTTTAACTGAATATGATTTTCTATCTGAATTTAAAAAAAAATTAATGATAAATTATACATCTAATCTGATAAAATTTTAATTTTTTGATATAATTTCAATAAAATATTTTATATATTGATAGGTAATAATTACATATATATATGCGTATGACATAACTCATACTCATAATATTTTAAATTACTAACTAATCCTTTTAACGTGAAATAAAAGGTAAATAGATTAATAATTAGTTTAAAATAATAAAAATTATTTTTACAAAAGCAAGTAAATAAAAATAAATATATATATAGACAGAAATTAAATAACTAAACTAACACTTTTATATTATAGACGTTTCTGATTTATATTAATTATAATTAGGTACAGAACATTTAATGTTAAGTATAAGAATAGAAATTTTTGGTTTATAAATCTAATCAATGCTTTAGATAAATAATTCAACATTAACTCTAAGTCTTAAAAGAAATACAAGTAGTAAAAGAATTTATAGAATTTAGTTGTAAGTAAAATTGCTTATCTAAACTCATTTTGGATTTAGCAAAATGTCTAAACTATAGTTTTACTAATTATTTACTAAAGTTTTAATATAGTTTCGCATTTTTATAAACTTTGATATAATTTTACCTTTTCTAGAATTTTGCAGATTTTTAATAAGATTTTAATATAATTTCACTAAATTTTACCTTATTCTATTTAGATGACTTATAAAATCTTTAAGTTTTATCTAACAACTTTAGTTAGAAGTATACTCAAGTTTAAAACTAGTAGCAATAGATTTATTGTTATTAGCTGCTCTATCAAATACCTAAAGTTCAAAAAGAAAAGTGTTTAATAAAAATAAAATTAATAATAATTTTCACCCTCCAAAAATATAATTTAAAACTTATATTAAAAAGGATTTATACTGAATATAGTTATGTTACAAGTACAGCTTCTTTAATATTAACATTAGATTTGCAAGACCAACAAAAAATGTAGTAATGCCTAAACTAATATAGTAAATTGATCAAAAAAACATCTACTTTTTCATTTTTCTAGGTCTAAAAAGTCACTGACAGTTAAATATTAATGTGTATTTTTATCATCACCAGAGAATTTCTATAATATATTCATTTTTATAATGATTTAGGTATCCTGAAGTAAGGGTATTATATCAGATTTAAATATGGGTATCGAAACCTCCAGAAGCATTTTCGAAAGTTTCGGGTTTCGGTATATACAAATCGAAACTTGACCCATAACCAAAACTTTCACCGAATCCTGAAACCATTTCCGATATCTGAAACATATTCTGATTTTCCGAAATTTATTCTATAACCCTAAACTTCTACCAAATTCCGAAACTAAATTTTATTATAAATGATCGCTATATAAGATACCTGATTATGTAATAGCGATAATCTCTTTTTCATTTTGAAATGTCTGATAATAACGAAACTTCAACTTCAAAAAAATTAA